GTCTGACCTTTACCCACTTAGATTTGTGAGTAGCTCCACAGCTGCTCTCCATCCACATCCTTAACCAATAACTACACAACTCCTGAAAAGCAACAGCAAAAAAAGCAGCTTACACAGCGTTTGTTCTGAAATGAGGGGTACTGATAGTGAGTTTATCCTCCTTTGCTGCAGTAACAGCCTCTACTCTTCTGGATAGGCTTTACGCTACATGTTGGAACATTGCTGTGAGGATTTGATTGAGCATTAGTGAGGTCGGGTACTGATGTTGGATGATTTACTCCAGAAAATATGGTAAAAGCACCATTTATCATTATAATAAATGCAAATAAACATAAATATAGTTAAAAGTAACAGTTTTTTTTTCCCAAAAACGTAGCTTATGTCTTGAGAGTTAGCTTGGAGAACGGATTTCTCCAGGACACCCATATCACAGTGAATTAAAGAGCCCATATTCAACATATTTTAGTATGTAATATTTTTCCTTGAGGACCACTTATGAGGTTTGTGTGGTTTTATGTTCCAAGCACAGTCATAACCATTATTTCTTTTTATCTCTTAGAATCCTTCATCAGTGGTCACAGGACGCTGCCCACAGGACACTGTTGGCTGGATATTTTTGGTTGGTGGACTATTCTCAGTCCAGCAGTGACACTGAGGTGTTTAAAAACTCCAGCAGCACTGCTGTGTCTGATCCACTCAGACCAGCGCAACACACACTAACACACCACCACCACGTCAGTGTTACTGCAGTGCTGAGAATGATCCACCACCCAAATAGTACCTGCTCTGTGAGGGTCCATGGGGGTCCTGACCACTGAAGAACAGGGTAAAAAGGGGCAAACAAAGTATCAGAGAAACAGATGGACTACAGTCTGTAACTGTAGAACTACAAAGTGCACCTATATAGTAAGTGGAGCTGATAAAATGGACAGTGAGTGTAGAAACAAGGAGGTGGTCAGAATGTTATTCCTGATCAGTGTATGTGCAAATGCACTGGTTTTGTGACATCACAGTAACAATTTATTCAAAACAAGCTATTTTTTAGCCTAATTTCCACAGTTGGAATGTATGGACTGGAAAGTGAACAGTACAGTTTTGAAACTTTTACGATATTTACTTAAAAATACTTCTCCAATGGTTCTTTAGTACATACAATGGTTCTATATAGAACCCTGAACACTCAAAGAACCATTTGCATGATTAATGGTTCTCTGGAATAGATGGATGGCTCTTTGCATGGTGAAATGGTTCCTCAGATTGGTGGAGAATGTGGTGTAGATGGTTCTATATAGCTCAAAAAAGGATCCTGCTACTGTTATGATGTCAAGCTTGTCACTTTTTGGTGCTACATAGAGACTTTTTCAAAAAAGTCTCTGTATAGAACCATATAAAACACATTCTTCATCAATCTGAAGAACCGTTTCACCATGCAGAAAACCGTTTGGTTCTTTGAGTGTTCGTGGTTCTATATAGAACCATTGTCTGTACTAAAGAACCCTTGAAGAACCACCTTATTTAAGAGTATCAGACTCTTTTATTGCAAAAAAATTGAGGAAATTCCAATTTTCCATTATATGGGACCTTTAAAATAATGAGGTATTGATTAGACAAACCAGGTATTGGATGAGGAGAAGTTTGGAAATGGTTAAACAAACACATTTATACACATAAAATCACTACTTATTGTGTTTTAACGTCATTCGTATTGATTATACAATAAGTGAAACTTACTGTATTTACAGTAACATCTACTGAACGCCAGTATTTTACCGTTTTATAAAAGGTGGCCCAGTTACACTGAAAGCTTTACGACACACTGTTCTCATGCTGTTTTCTCTCGCTCGCTGACATGATCATGTTCAGACATGAGAGCGAGTTTCAAAGCTATAGGGAAAAAAAGATGATGAGTGATGAAAATGTAATCCAGTTGTGGTTTCTTTCCATTATGAGCCTGGATGGAGTGTCTACATAGCTGCTGTGAGCTGCTGCCTGTCCTGTAGACCCCCCACCCCAGCAATGTCAAACTATAATGAAGAACATTGCTGCTTTTTATGTTTGTGTACATGCAAAAACAAACAAGAAGAAAACAGCTCTCATATACAAATATAGGCGTATTTGGACATTTGTGCCAGACTTTAAAAAATGTTTTAAGCTAATTGTGTTAGACAGACAGACCGTCCCACTAATGTCATTTCCATTTTGGTACAGTGTTCTTTCAAAGAGCAGCTGGCGAGTTTCAGATCAGTATTTCTTTGCAGACTTGAGTTTCAGGTCGGTACTAAAACAGCCCCACTTTGAGGTTTCCACGTCTGTGCTTCACAGTAGCTTTAGTGCTGTCTGGATGGAGTTCTTCACCAGGAGTCCTCCACATAAAGAGTCCACCATCAGTTTGATGTTGCATCAAAAGTGTTTTTCTCTTCACAAATATTTTTTTTCAGGATTTTATATAGTAACATAAGGATCATCAACAGATACTTTTGGGGCCGCTGTATGACGTCAATCCCACAAGAAAGGGAAAGAGAAAGACTTAACCCTAGAATTTTATTACAGTTCATTTTAAATGCTTAAAGTGTCCAAATAGTTTTGGATGCTGCTATTTGATGTCAAAAGTCCCACAACAAAGGAAAAGAAAGGAAAAGAAACAAAAGGAAAGGAAAAGAAAGTAAATTAAATGAAAGAGATGAAAAGGGAAAGGAAAGAAAAGGAAAGGAAAGGAAATGAAAATGAATGAAGAGAAAGTGAAATGAATGGAAAGGCAAAGAGAATTGAAAGGAAAGGAAAGGAAAGGAAAAGGGAAGGAAATTAAAGGAAAGGAAAGGAAATTAAATGAAAGGAAAAGGAATGAAGAGAAAATGAAATGAATAGAAAGGCAAAGGAAATTAAAGGAAAGGAAAGGAAAGGAAATTAAAGGAAAGGAAAAGAAAAGGAATGAAGAGAAAATGAAATGAAGGGAAAGGAAAAGAAAAGGAAAGAGGATGGAAAAAGGAAATTAAAGGAAAGGAAAGGAAAGGAAAGGAAAGGAAAAGGAAAGGAAATTAAAGGAGAGGAAAGGAAAGGGAATGAAGAGATGAAGGGAAAGGAAAAGAAAAGGAAAGAGGATGGAAAAAGGAAAGGAAAGAATGTTTTTAAAGTTAAATGCTTACAGAAGTACATTTTGGGCCACTGCATGGTGGCAAAAGTCCCAGAGGAGGAGAAAGAAAAGTGCAAAAGATAAGACCGGTGAGGAAAGGAAAGGGAAAATGTTAACAAAAAGCTAGTACAATGAAAAAGAAAAGAAAAAAAGAACGACTGTGTAAAGGCAGAAGTGAGTGATAACTACTCACATCAATACTCTGATAGGTTTGCACGTCTCTCTTCTAATGATAAAGCTTTTACTGTGAGGAACAGAATCGACCTCAGCACCATTCAGGTCACATGTGGCTCCTAATTACCTTTCGGGTTTAATTTCGTTCTGTTGTGTTGACTCAGCACTTAGGCTGCTTTAATGTTGCTCACACCTCCCACACCTCACACTTTAAAGGAGCCCAAAAAAGAGAAGAACAGAGCAGAGTCTGGCAAATTTCAGTTTCTATGAAGCTCTACCAGGAAGTCAGTACTCAGAATGGATGAACTTTTATACTTCCTTTTTCCTCCTCATCAAGATTTTTTAGCTACTTTTGCGTCTTCCTAACTCCTTATTTCATGGATATACGAATTCTTAAGAAGCACTGAAGAAAAAGCTGCTGCTGTTGCTGCAAGAACTGCAGAACTAGCGAAACAGGCAGCATGTTTCATTTCCACTTAGGAAGCTGATGACGCTCGCTGGAAGATTACGTTCTTCAACTTTCCACGATCATACTTCCTCATAGGCCGGTATTTCCCCCTTTCTGTAAAACTATCAATTTCACCCTCTGAGCTGGCTCTTAATCTGTGGAATTTTGAGGTTTTATGGACCTTCACTTTTGAAATATTGACGTTTTAAATCAGATAATTATTTTTAATGCATTTTTTTTCTACTCTGGCCTTCTAAAAATAAATATTACAGTCTTATATAATTTGTTTTAATCTCTTCGTGGACCATACCACTTTAAAAGTGGCTACATAAGATAAATGAATTATTATTAGTGGTGGGCAATATGACAATATTTATCATTTTTGTGATAAAAAAAGCACAATATGTTGTGCATATTATTAGTACTTAAAGGAGACTGACCAGTGGAATGTTTCATTAGAAAGAGAGCATAATTAGACCTGTTTAACTGGATTTAGTGCAGTGCAGTATGTGAAACAAATAAAATAATAATAAAAATCATTATACTTTACTATGCATTTGCTTAACTGTGTAATGTATATTATATATATGCTTTTATACATATATTTTTTTTCTAAAAGTGGCACTACAAGTTATTTTTCTGTCTGTTTTATTTAATCAAACTTCAGAAAAAGAAAATATTGTGATGTATATTATGTAAATGTCTAGAAGAATTACTGTATTTTGGATATATGGCCTCCAATTATTATTATCGTTATTATTATAATAATTTAGATAGATAGACAGATAGATAGATAGATAGATAGATAGATAGATAGATAGATACTTACTTTATTGATCCTGAAGGAAATTGAGCAGCCAGTATCAGTCACACAACACAAGACAGTTATAATAATAAGGGTGATACAATATAAAAAGAACAATATACACAAAAAAAATATCTACAGCCATAAATACAAATAGACATATACAATAAGATCTATAACCAGAGATAAAGGCAGTGCAATAATGACTGTACAAGGAGGCGCAGGTAACAGCATTAAATGATCACAGAGGTTATTTATCTATTAAACTAAACGAGTTAAAGACTGAATGCAGTTTATTTTATGTGTGAATTTCCCTAAATGTTTCCTTTGTTGTCTGTTTTTGTAGAATTCCCGTAAGTTTTGAGTGACGTATGAATTCATGTGTCGTCCTATTGGCTCCTGGTCGGAGTGGGCGGAGCCTCGTCCCTAAAGTATAGACCGTGGAGTGGCGTCGCTGAGACAGAGTTAAGCGAGCAGACGAGAAGTTTGGAATCGTAACATTAAAGTTTAGCTCGGTTTCACGACCCGAAGGACTAGTTTTGGACCTCCTCTGGTGTTCCGTTTATAAGCTACTGTGCGTGAAGATGATGAAAGTGTACCTCACCGTGTTTTTCCTGGCTGCTGCTGTCTTCGCCGAGTCGGTAAGTGACGGTTTGCTTTCAGGTGGCTGGCTAACGTAACCTAGCTAACCAGCTAACTAACAGTGCGAGTCGGTTAAAGCGGCCGTTAACCGGTTAGCCGTACCTGGTATCTCGATGGATTTTATTTACGTTAAGTTAAATTGTACTTAATGTAGTTAAGTTAAACTTAATCCCGAGTTTCCCTTTCTCCGCCGCCTGGTAGGAGAAACTAACCTGTGTACTAACAAAACAGTCAGTTAGCCAGCTTAGCCAAACACGGCAGTTAAAACTACCGTAGTAGATTGTTCAGTGAACTACTTAAAGGGGAATTCCACCAATCTTTTAAAAAAAATCTGAGTAGTTCAGTCCTTGAGATGTGAACAGAGTGATTCGGGGTGCTTTGGTGTGAAATGGTTCAGATTTCCTTACAGTGGTGGTGATAGGAACCAGGGGTCACTGTGTCTGCAATAGCCATTTTAATTAACCTGCTATCGAAAACCACCAGTGGACCTACTGGTGTCTTCGGAGTCTTTATATGGGCTGTTGATGATGGTAAAGTAATGAAAATATGAAAAAAAGAAGTTTTCTTTGGGGACTATTTTGCCTGAGAATACCCCCCTTGTGTCCCTCCACCATGAATAGATAAAGGAAATTGATTAAAAAAACGTTTTAGGCCAAAGCTTTGTCACAAAACTATTGTAAAACAGTGTCTTCAGGCAGGGAGTTCATAACCATTTCACGTGATGACTTTCTGTGAGGGAACTTTTAGAGGTGGACGTCTGGTTCCTATCACCGCCACTGTGAACAATTCTGACTCGACAAGTTTCTCTAGAACAGAGCGTTTCACACCAAACCACTCTGAACGACTCTGTTTACATCGTAATCGTTTAATAATGAATTTTTTGGAAAAATGGGTGGAGTTCCCCTTCAAATCTAATACAGTCGATTGTTCACTGAACTACTAAAGCTTAGTTGGGTCTACAGTGATTGTTTAGTGTTATGCCTATGATAGTAAGTTGCTCAATAACTTTTTAATAATCTACTTTAATCATTATTAGGTTAAATGGCTTGTTCATTTAAACATATTCTGCAACGTCGCGTCATTGTTTTCTCAATTTCTTTAATAACAAAGCTCTGAAATCGTCGTGCTGTTTTGTTCAGACTTGAATTTTGTCATTTAAAGTTGTACTTTCTTCAGTATCTCAAAGGTTTTCATGTGACACACGTTGAGTATTCCCCTATCTTTTTCCTTTGGGTAACAGAAATCGAGGAAAGCAAGCAAACTTTGTAGCAGGGCTTTTATTTTAGAGGCACCAGACGTTACCAGGAACCACACTTCCTTAACCTTTTCTGTTTATGGTGTTAATTTTACCTTTTTTGTGGCCGAAACACCTGCGTGTGGCACGTCACTCTTTTCCATGCTGTTTCTTTCCCTCATAATAGGAAAGAATGGCCGTGTGCAGATGTCTTTGTGGTGGTGGAGCTGGGAGCAGGCCGAAATAGAATAGAAAGGAATGATAATAAGACAGATGCCACCCAGTGTGTGTGGTCAGCCAGCCACAAATGCACACAGGCAAAATGCAAATGTTCTGAGCGCAGAACTTTCCATTCGAGCTCCTGGAATGTATGCAGTCCACCTATTAGATGGGCTTAACCTCCCTTTTGTTTGGTCTATTTGAAGATGAACAACAGATCCAACTCCTGACCTTGGTGTTGATGCCGAATTGTCTTGTCTGCCCTGATATTGTGCTGCGGGGCTTCTGATGTGGCATTCCTTCTCTATTTTGGTGCTGGGCGATATTGCTAAAATACCAAAATATACCAATATATCAGTGTTTAATAGTATTTAAGTTTGCTTTAATAGAATTAATGAGCCCATTCTTCCTCTAGGCCGAGCGAATATATTTCAAACCTGATATAACTGATTGATTGATTGATTGATTTTGATCTCTCAAATTTACTAGGGGTGGACGATATGACAAAACATATCACAATACTTCAGGACATTTTCACGGTACACGATATGCATCACAATATTTTGTTTATTTTGAGATTTGATAAGTTAGAAGAGGCAAAATATTGCCTCATATAAGAAGTAACTAAGAAAAACAATAAACATATAATTACAATGACTTTTATTCAGCTTTTTACAAACTGCACGACACTAAACCCACTTAAACAGGCATAATTATGCTCACTTTGTAATGAAACATGCAGTTAGTGGTTTTAAGCACTGATGATATCCAGAACATGCTCAGAATAGCGTATTGTGACGTAGTTTATCACGATAATAATAAAATATCATGTTGCTTGTCCCTAAAGGGAACTTGTCAATGCTAAAAGGGAACTTACTATATATATTTATGAAATTTTAAACAGTATTTTCACCCAGTAAGTGACGCATGCACTAGAATTACTTCCCTAGACCTAGATATCATGAGTAAAGTGCACAAAATAGAATAATAAGGCTAAAAACATGCCATTTTATGGGCATTATTATGCATATACTGCTTATTATCTAATAAAATATCACTTAAGTTGACCATACAGCTTTCTAAATATGTATATGTAATGTTGATATTGGTAAAGTGGTAGCAAGTCAAACAAAAATATGATTTTTTTTGGCCTTATTATGCCTTAAAGATCTCTTTTAAAATACATGTTTATAATTACATAGAATTAAAAAGCTAAAAACATGCCATTCTGTGGTCATTATTACAGATACACTACTCATTATAATAGGAATATCACAGTATGTCAGTATCACACTCTACCAACATAGTCTCTCCGCCCTACTATGGGCTACTTTCCTGTTAAAACATTTGCCTGTGGCTGTTTATGACTGTTAATTGTAAACTGAAGGTTAAATGTGGGAGGTAGTTAGTTCTCAGCAAAGGAGGCTGCAACATTCCTCAGAATCATACAGAAGCATCTCCTGCTCCCTTTTCACCCCCCTCCCTTTCCCTCCTATAGTATATTTCGGTGGAATTTGACCCCTTATGACCTTGACCAGCCCTCTTTTGGGATTTCACACACTTGGCTGGATTTAAATGGTCCAGTGCTTTCATTTCTTTCCCTTCCTCCAGCCACTGGACTCTGGAAGGGCTTAAACTTCAGTTTAATGAATAATAAGGAATATTTACTTGGACTATGACTAGGTGTAGAGCTATGAGATGTGAAATATGATATAATGTGGGTTGGGCTGAGAGTTTGTAGCGCAGAGGGCACATATTTTACCCTGTTCTGCCTTCTTCTTAAAGAAAATGTAAGTCTGACAAGCTGTTTTGGACCATTTTAGGCAATGTTGGCAAGTCAGGACTGACGCTAAATTGTCCTACGACATTAACGTTGTGTTAAATTGGCCGGATTTCAGCGTGGATGAAACGTTAAACCCTCCAGCCTCCGTTGCACTGCGCTGAATGTGAACATTGTTCCTGGTAATTGTACAGTACTTATGTGTAATAACATTCCATGGACCAAATTCTATTTGGGAGGAAATACACTTGAGGCCTTAATAGGAAATGCAGCTAGAATGGCGAAGCTCCTCGCTCCCCTTTTGGGAAGAGAGAGACAAGATGTTCTGTGTGGATAGTCAGCATCTGTGTGCACACGTGATTCGCTTCAGATGTCCACTTCGGGTCATTACAGGGCGCCATCCACTGTCTGACATGTCTTGTTGGAATTATTTCTTCTGAATTAAAGGGGAACTCTACCTGTTTATCAGATAAATCGTTCGGAGGATGGGATAGGAACTGTCTACAGCACAAATACCCATTTTATTTACCATCCAAAACCACCAGTGAGCAAAAGTTAATTAACTCATTCCTCCGCTAGGCTAAACGAATGTATTTTGAACCTGAAATTCTTTTAAAATTAACTATGCTAACCAGACAGAAAGCACACTCCCACAAAGGTAACTTACTTTTTAGGGATTATTTCAAAACAGCACCCAGTAAATGACACATACACACTAAAGTTAACTGTCTGGGCCTGGATACATGAATAAAGTACGCAAAACAGAATAATAAAGCTAAAAACTTGCCATTTTCTGGTCATTAATGGTGGATATACTGCTTATTATCCGTCAAGATATCACTTAAGTTGAACATACATCTTTCTGAATATGTATATGTAATGTTGATAATGGTAAAGAGGTAGTAAGTCAAACAAAAGTAGGATTTCTTTGGGCTTAAAATGTCTTGCATGCACCTTTCTGCCATGAAGATATTTTTAAAATACATTTTAAGTCAAAACTTTGTTTTATGATAGTTTTGAGATGGTGTTTCAGCCTTTAGAGGCTTCGTTTGCATCTTAAGTACGTAACTTTAACAGAGATTTTCAAAAATTGGTTGGAATTCCCCTTTAAGTATGAATCCATTCGTGCTGGAATGATGAAGTTCTTTCACAAGACAGGCTGAATAGAGCGGCCAGTGAAAGACTGAGTGGTGAACATGATAAATACTTTCACCGGGATGTAATAATGCTTTCTGCATTGCTGTCCACTGGCCTATAAAATCCCTTTGGTGAAAGGAATGTTGGCACTGAGAGAGGGGGTTTTGTTTGCAGCTTGAGTGAAAGAAGTTAAGAATTTTATTTATTTATTTTCAGTCCGTCTCTCTGGCCAGGCTGCGAACACGTCTGCCCTAATGATCAATTGGGATACGCCTGTATAGCCTATTAATTTTAATCCCTAGTCATTAGTATTGGCCTTTGTAGAACTAAATATGTTCATGTTGAGCAAAGTGGAGCTCAAAGTCAACATGAAGATGTTGAAAATCATTTGTAGTTAATTAAATAGGTTTAAAAGGCTGACTGTAGCTTTAAGAGAAGCCCACACTCTTGGGGGCTTCTTTTATTTGGCTTTTGGTCTTATTAACCTTTTGTCACCTCCATAGGAGTTCGTTCCTGGTACCTAGATACCACCTGTTCTCAACGGCTCTTTTAAAAAACGTTTCCCTGATGTGTTCCTGATAAGCGGGCCCGCAGAGTCCTAAAAGCAGAACACCAGCGAAACTGTACAT